ACCCCACTGGGAAGCCACTGTGGTCACCACCTCCTCTCATTGGGGGAGGGGAAGCCCAGACAAGGCCCGAGGAGCTAACTCTGACCAAGAAGAGCAGCCCAGAGCTGAGCTGAGTCTCTGGAGCCTGGGGCCAGTGCCTGCTGGGAGATCCCAGGCCTGGGCCAGTGGTCTTGCTGCGAAACAGAAGCAAGTTGTCTTTTCTGAGGTTCCCGTTCCCCAACACAGGAAGACCCTAGGCCCCAATTCCACCTGCAGGCAGTGTGGAGGGCCTGGTGTCCCGTCCTGCCCTCTCACGCATCCCCTAGCACAGCCCCTTCCTAGTGGCTCAGAGCTTCTAGCTGCTCTGGAGTTTACAGAGTCCAGTCCCAGCTCCCTGGCCTGGCTCCACTGGGGTATTTGTGTGCTCCCGGGGCCCGGGGTAGCAGGGGAGACCTCTCTGGAGGATTAGTCTGCCTCTAGTGTTCTGGGCCACAGGGGATGGAGTCAGGGAGTAGCACTACAGCTTTTGAGGACAGAGTAGGGCATAGGCCCAGACTTGCTCTGGACCCATCCCCAGGGTCCCATACCCCAAATCCATTCCCTGAGCTCACAGTGGATTCAGGGGAGGAGAGGCCTGGGGGCCAGGGCAGAGGAGAAAGGAGGCCAGAGCTGGGGCAGGACTGCTGCACGGGAAGGGCAGAGGCGAGGGGCCCAGCCTGAACTGCGAGCTCGGCAGCCCCTTCAGGAGAGCCTTCAGGTGGCGGGCGGGTGAGCAGGACACTGCCTGCCGCTGAGAGCTGGAAGGAAGCCCCTCTGAGAGCTGAAGACAAGATGGTCCCCAAGGGCGTGGAGGAGGCCTGCGGCCCTCACTGGGGTGACGTGCCGTGTCCGCTGGCCAGGGTCTGAACACCCACCTGGAGAGAGGGTGAAAGACCAGGGCCAGGGGATGCTCTTAGGGTAGAGTGGGGGTGCTGGTTCCTGTCCCCCTTCTCTGGGTCCTTGAAAGTGGGGGGGACACACAAGCAGGGCACTTGGGCATCTGGGTGACTGAGGCTGGAGGCCGCAGGCCCAGGTGGTCAGGCAGGTGGCGTGGTGTGGTCAGAGCCCCTCCTGTCCTCCCTGTGGCGAGAGGGTGCAGACACCCCCTCCCTGGGATACCACATCTGCCCAGACCCCTTCCTCTTTGAAAACCCTCCCCCCAGCCCCCCACCCTGGACTCAGTCTTCCTCTTTTTCATCACATCCTCCCTGGGCCTGGGAGGAGCTGACGGCCACTCGCCGTCCAGCCTATGCTAGCCCAGACCCCAGTGTTCTGCGGCCGCCTCTGTCTGCCCCCATCTGCAGGGCCCACCCTCCCGGCAGGGGCTTCTGCACCATCCTCTGGAACCTGCTGTGTTACCGGGCCTGGGCCTGGGCTTCAGAGCGCGTCAGCAATCAGGGGCGCTGGGGGGAAGAGATTGCCCCTGACCGATAAAAATAGCCCTGACCTGCACCCACCCCCACCCGGCTCACGCAGCTTCTCTTAGAGTGCACTTCCGCAGCCCTGACAGGAAACGGGCCCGAGGCTCAGCCTCCCCCCATTTCAAGGCAACTTCTTGTTTCCCCATTGCCTTGTGCCAGCCCTGGGCTTGTGCCCCTTGGCTCCACCCCCAAAACCTTCCCAGGGCTCCATCCCAGAAGCTCAGAAGGGAAAGGATGGTGGACAGGATTGCCAAGCTGACCAGGAGGTACAGTCGGGCCCTGCGGGGACAGGTAGGGGCCCCTGGCATTGGGGGTCGAGCTCAGCCTCTGACGGGGCTGGCGGGGAGGCTTCTGGGGGCCAGGGACCACCGCTGGTGCTGTGAGGAGCCGAGTGAACTGGGGTTCAGAGCAGGTATCTCCCGGAGGTTCGGAACTCCCCCCTTCTTTCCTCTTTCCTTTCCTGCGGCCTTGCCTCAGTGAGGGGGCGGCAAAGGAATCTGAGAGATGGTCATCGGTGTGGGGAAGAGACAGATCTGCCACATGCCTGTGGGAAAAGGCAGGGAACTGGAAAACAGCGCAGCGCCGGGGGCCTGGCAGCAGACGATGGTGGGAGTCAGGCCCCTCTTGGCTCCTTCCTCTGGCCTGAGGTGCAGACCACTTCCTCTTTTCCACTTGGTGACCCCGCATGATTGGAGCCTGGACCCCAAGACTTGGTGTCAGTGGGCTGGGTCTTGCCTGGGCCTCTGGGAGCTGGGGGCAGGGCGGCTGACCCCACTCTAACCTGGGTGAGCTCAGGTCGGAGGCCATGGCAGAACTGGCTTCTGGGGACTCTGATCCTGGCTGGGGCTCTGCCAGGAGAGCAAAGCACCTCTGTCTTAGCTCTGTGGGGCTCCACAGAGAGTTCTAGAGGGTGAAAGGGCCTTGGGGCTGCAGCGTCCCTAATAGTGAGTTGGACTCTACGTGGCCACCTCTGCCGCCAGCTCCACTGCCTCGTGAGGTAGCTGCATCCTGGGCTGCACCAGTCCTTGGAATGTGCTTCGATCAAAGGAGCACTGCCCTGCCCCCATCTGGCCTCTGATGCACTCGGGAGCCCTGCTGCCCTATCCTGCCTCTTCCCCTCCTCGTGACTGCCTGTCACGTGAGGAACCTAAACTTCTACCTGCCCAATCTCTGTTGCTGCTGGGGTGTTCCTGAGTGTGAGTTCCCCATTAGCCCCAGCAGCCTGGGACTCCCTGAGGCTCTGAGCCAAAGCCAGCAGCCTGACCAGATGGAAATCCCTGCTCCAAAGAGCCCCGCTCCTCTCTGGCTCTTCTGCCTCCCTGACGCCCTCTACCCTGTACATCCTTCCAGCCCTGTCCCAGGCATGGGCGAGGTCATGGGTGCAGCCGGGGTAGGTGGTAAGCGTGTCCAGTCATCCACCTCCCTCACCCACTGCCTACATTCTCCACGGAGCCGTTACTCTGGAAGGCCTGGCTCACAGCTCGCCCGCTCTCCCGTTGGGGCGTGCGTACCTGCTGCTGAAGTCTGCACAGAGCTGGCTTCTATATTCAGGCAGCAGGTGCTTTGGGTGGGTCTGCCGTGGGCTTCAGAACAGCGGAGCACTTGCTTCGTGCCCACGGGGGTGGGTTACATCATCCTGGTCTTGCTCTCAAGAAACTCCTACCCTTGGGGGGCAGATGGGCAGACAACTGACCCCAAGGCAGAGTGCCGTGGGACCCTCACAGGAGGAGCAGCAGAGTGCCCATGGCTAGGCGTCTCTCCAGAGGGAAGGGGAGCGCGCAGGAGGAGCAGGGAATGAGAGCGGGAGTCTGGCTGAGGGGTGGGGTAGGGGGTGAAGGGGGAAGGGGATGCCCCTGGTGTTCTGGGGAGGGCCAGCGGGCTGCTGTGGTTGGAATAACCGGATGCCATAGGGGGCAGGAGTGGGTAGAGAGAAAAGAGAAGTGGAGGGGCGGGCTCAGCCACAGGGGCGCGTGTGGCGTGGGGGAGGCAGCGGGTGAGGAACTACAGGACTGCTCTACCTGGTTTCTCCTACCTGCCTGGGACAGCCACCTGCTGAAGGGCAGTGCCCCCCCCCCACAGTGTTTTATTGGCAGGCTGCACATTTTACTCCTCACTTGGGGTCCCTCCCCCCATTTACACACCCACGCTGGTGTATCAGCATTGCCAGAGCAAGGACTTGAATCCATTTGCTCCCTGCTGCATTCCCGGTGCCTTTAACAAAGCTTGGCCCAGAGCAGGTGACACTTTGCTGGACACATGAGTGTTTTCCTAGGTGCTTGAGGACCCAAGCGAGGCCCCTCTGAGGATTTACGGCTTTGAGGTGGGGGGTGTTAGAGCTACAGGGGGACGTCTGGGATTTAAAAAAAAAAAGGTTTATTCAAAATGTTGAGGCAGCAAACATGTTTAAAGAAAACAATTAAACACGACCAAATCCAATCTGTATAACTACACTTCTGTTAGCCTGTTGGAGGATTTCTAGAACAACAGAACTGGAATTATGCTGAGTTTACCATCTTGAACTTTGTTCCCCCCTTGTAGCATTATGTGTTCTTCGAAAACAGTGTTAATCCCCGAGTGCTGTGCCTCCTGGGGTTTGATGGCTTAGTTTTCTATCCCTCCAGTGGGCTGAGGGCTGGGTGTGGTGGGCACAAGGAAGAAATCTCAGGAAAGGTCTTGAACCTGACACTTGAGCTGAGTCCTAAAGAAGAAAGAGGAATCAGTCCTAAAGAAGAAAGAGGTGGGGCTGGGGCTGAGACCTGGCAGTGAGGGCCCTCCCCTAGTGTTGCTCCTAGAGCTTAAAGTTCAAAGCCAGGAGCAAGGAGTGGCCTGGCCGGAAACAGGCTGGAAGACAAGTGCTGATGGATGGCCCTGGTGCCTGGTTAAAGGTTTAGACTTTGCCCTGCAGGTAGCTGGGGCCTTGAGGGTGTTAACACTTACATTCTTTGTGACTGAGTCCACCTCACTTTATTTTGGGGTTGGGTAGGGGGTTCCCCTTTCTTTGCTCCGCCTTCTCTCCCAACTGGCTCTCCTCTAGCCTGGAACTGATTCTGAGGCCTGTGATTCTGAGGTCACACACCTAGGAAGCTCCCTTCCCCTATGCAGAGGCAGTGCCCATTGCAGTCCAGAGCTGGGGGAGGGGGAGGGTGTCTTGGTGAGGACGGGAATATGGAGCAGGGCCTGCCCTCTGTGACCAGAGTGGGGTCCAGAAGGCACAGGTCCAGGCCAGTTCTCTGTTCCTGCCCAACCTTTGATTGGTCCCTTTGATTGGCACAGCTGGAAGAACGCAGTAACCAATATTTTATCATTGCTAATAAATAATTAATGACATCGCTCCACGCATCTGGGGCACTTCCACACTTTACTGAGCACTTTGAAGAACATTTCCTGGTGCTGTTAGCGCACTTTCTAGAACTGGGCGGACATTCTGCAGCCCGGGAAGCTGAGGCAGAGGCACCGTGACTTACTGAAGGTCACGCAGTTGGCGAGCGGCTGAGCGGGCCTGTGACCCCGGGGCTGCTGAAGGTCACGCCTCCCCCCCAGCAGGTGGCCGCCCCCCCGGAGCCGGAGCCCGAGCCGGAGCCGGTCTACGCCAACCTCGAGCGGCAGCCGCGGGCCGCCTCCCCCGACGCCTCCGCTGCCCCGCGCGCCGGCCCCGCGTGGGAGACGCACACGGACGCGGACAGCGGGCGCCCCTACTACTACAACCCCGACACGGGCGTGACCACCTGGGAGTCGCCCTTCGAGGCCGAGGCCGCCGAGGGAGCCGCCAGCCCGGCCACCTCCCCGGCCTCGGTGGGCAGCCGCGAGAGCCTCGACGCCGAGTGGGGCCAGTACTGGGATGAGGAGAGCCACCGGGTGTTCTTCTACAACGCGCTGACGGGCGAGACGGCCTGGGAGGACGAGCGGGAGGACGAGGCGAGGACGAGCCCGGGACGAGCTGGACATGCAGCCCGGCGAGGGGCTCCGCAGCCCCCGGGACGAGCGGGTGAGGGGCGGGGCGGGGCGGGGCGGGGCGGGGAGTCGTGGCCCCGCCCCTGCACCCGGGTTGGGGAAACTGAAGGCTGGGCGGGGCCTGGCGGGGCGGGGCCTGGCGGGGGGCGGGGCCGGGGCGGGGGCGGGGCCGAGCCGGTCGGGTCCGGGCTGGCTCTGGGGGCCGCTGGCCGCGTCTCCGGCTCCCTGCGGACCCGGGGAGCAGAGGTGGCGGGATGAGGCCTGATCCGAAAGAGCACGGCCCGGTGTCAGTACTGCCTCCGAAAGCCTCTGACTCCGCCTTGCGCTCCCGGCAGCCCCCCACTCCTGAGACGGACTACCCCGAGTTGCCCGCGTCCTACCCCGAGGAGGACTATTCTCCCGAGGGCTCCCTAAGCGAGCCCGACCCCAGTGCGCCCTTCGCCACGCCCCCTGGCTGGGCCTGTCACGTCGACGCTGAGGGACAGACGATCTACACCAATCACTACACCCAAGAGCAGGTGGGGTGTGGGCCCAGGCAGTCCCGGCTGCTCCCCAACTGGTCCTCACTGGTCGCTTCCCTTCACTCTCCAAGCTCCCCCTCCCGGAGAACGCGAGTCAGCCCAAGACTGCACCCTGCACCGCCCCTCCGGACTCCGGGGCTCCCTGTGGGGCTCTGGTTGGCGGGAAGCTCTCCGTCCTGCCACGAGGTGGGCGGGCGCCCTGACCCTTCCCTCTCCCCACAGTGGGTGAGGCTGGAGGACCACGGGAAGCCTTACTTCTACAACCCCAGTGATGCCTCCGTGCAGTGGGAGCTGCCCCAGGTAACCCGGGGGTGCTGGGGAAGGGGGTGCTGGGGGAGAGAGGACTGTACTTGACAGTATCTTTCTCCCCAGGTCCCTGTCCCTGCCCCTCGAAGCATCCGAAAACCTAGCCAGGAAAGTGAGATGCCAGCACAGGCCAGCCCACCAGAGGAGAAGGTAAGGGAGTGGGCACCAGGCCCTGGCAGGACCCCCATAGAAGAAGTGGAGGTTGGAGGACTGGAGGCCTGAGGCTGGGCAAGTCTCCTCCATAGGCCTCAGCATTCACTTGGGCTGAACGAATCCGGGGTCTGGGTCATCCCAGGCCAGAGCTGGGGGGAGCTGGGAGGAAAGTCCTGCTGCTGTTGCTGTGGAAGTGGTACCCCCCACCCCCAGCAGTGAAGAGGGTTCAGCGGAGACTCGGGCCCAACCTACGGGGAGTTGCTGGCTGAGGGAAGGCTAACTTCCTCAGCTCCCTCCTCTTCGCCTTTTCTCTTTAAGATCAAGACGCTGGACAAGGCAGGTGTGCTCCATCGCACGAAGACAGTGGACAAGGGGAAGAGACTCCGGTGAGAACCCGGGTGTACCCGGACCAGGGCAGGGAGGGCCTCAGTGACCACCTTCACTGGGCACCATCCGTGCGCCATCGGGGGCCTGGTGAGGACTCTGCAGCACAGAGATAGAGACTTGCCCAATGTCCCTTGGCTAGGGTGTTAGACCTGAGAGTCCACCCCTTGTGATTGGGGTGCCCCAAAGAGTTCTGAAACTCCTTGCCTTGCTGCTCCTGGAGGGAAGGGCAGCCTCAGCCAGAGCCAAATTCCAGCCCTGACACCCACCCACCCCCACACACACCTTTACCCAGGAAGAAAAACTGGAGCGCCTCCTGGACAGTGCTGGAGGGTGGCGTCCTGACATTCTTCAAGGACTCCAAGAGCTCAGTGGCAGCTGGTCTGGTGAGTCCCCAGCCCCCGGGGTTGGGGCCACCCACCTGCTCCTGACTCCCGCGGGCCTTTACCTGGTCTGTCTGGCTGTGGAAGTCCAGCCCTGAGGCAGAGGCTCAGGAGTATCAAGGGAGCTGGGCCTTGCTGGGAGGTGATGGCAGCTGATTCACCCCAGGACAAGCACTTCCAGCCTCCCTTGAGGGTGGACCACTCCAGCCACGTGGGCAGGAGGTTGGGGACTGGACACCCCTGCTCCATGGGGCTGCCCTTCTTTCTCCTTTCCTCTCCTTGGTGCTAAGCAGCAAACAGAGGACCAGCCATCCTGCAACTGTATGGTTACAAAGTGCCAGGATCTCCGGGTTCCAGAAACCCTTGAGTCCCCTTCCCCCAAAGCTGTGACCCCTGTCCCTGGAACCCAGGGGTCCTGGTGGATAGGAGCCAGGTGCTGTGGCAGGCCCTCTGAGCTGAGTGCTCTCTGTAACTGTGTCCCCCCACTTTCTTCCCTCTCCCACAGAGGCAGCCTTCCAAGCTCTCTACTCCTGAGTACACAGTGGAACTGAGGGGGGCCTCGCTCACCTGGGCCCCCAAAGACAAATCCAGCAAGAAGAATGTACTGGAGGTGAGGGGCTGAGGGAGGAATAGGGCTGACCACTGGCTTGGGACCCTCACTTGGCAAACTCAAAGAATGGGGGTCTGGGAAGGGTTGGGGCTGCATTCTCAGGTTTCAGGGGCAAAGGCACCCCGACCTCAGGGCTTGTTCACAGTGTTTCTGGCATCCTGGATTGTGCAGTTCCTGCTCCAGGAACTTGGCTTCCCAGGGTGGGGAGGCTTAGGAGGCTCTGGGCAGCCGCATCCCAGCTGCCCCATCCCTGGCTCCTTATTCTGTAGACTGGGCAGGGAGGAGGATGGTACCTTCTCTGACTGGTCAGAGCCCAGCTTCCAACTGGACAGGGTCCCCAGGGAATAAACCAGGTCCATGGACATGTTTCTCTGGCTTGCCCAGCAGGGAGAGAGAGGCCTGTGAGGCCCAGGCAAGTGGCAGAGCTGTCACTGCCACTTGTTTTCAAGATGTTATTATCCCCACGTTGGCCCCCAAAGTTTTGCGTCAACTCACACACAAACACACGAGGTGAGCTGGTAAAATCCACTGAAAAGCCAGGGCCAGACAAGTTAGAAGAAGGGTCCATGTAAAGAGAAATTAGGGGCAGATGAGGTACAGGTGCTGAAGTTGTTGCTGGAAAAAAAAATAATAACTGCGGGTTTCCTGGAAGCCAAAGTGAAAAGGGAGCGTACTCAGTTATGTGACTCTTGCTGTTGGAAAGAGTCACAGATTTTGAGGGAAATCAAGACCATTTCCTGATCCTTAGCACTTGAAGAAGTTTCCAGTGAACATGGAGTCCAGAAGAATGAGGCCCCTGCCCCGCCAGAGAGCTCCAATGTACAAGGAACTCTCAGGGTGCTTCTAGGTGACCTCATGTTGCAGTTCAGAAAAGCAGCTCTCCCAGGAGTTTGATGGTTTCCTGGTGATTCACGTTTCATTCAGTGGTTTTTCTGATGATTCATGCTTCCCTCAGCTCTAGAACCATAGTATCCACTGAGCAGGTTTGGAAAACCCGTTTGCTCTCATGAGCCACTCTGATCAGTAAGTCTGGAGCCTTCTGGAGGAGAATTCCAGAGCCTGCTCCAGGCCTGGTGGGGTAGAGTGCAGAGTCTGATCGAGGAGGGCATCAGGTTTGCCAGCCTGTACCTCTTCTGACATGGAAAGATACGCTTCAGTTTTCTGGCCGGGCCTTTGGCGCAGGTTTCAGAATAGACACCTCTGCCTTGCCTTTTCTGGCAAGGACTGGAAGGCAGGTGGCGCAGAAGCTGCTCAAGCCAGAAGGAGAGCTGCGTCTTAAATGAAGACTAGGAGCCCTGGCTTGCTCCACTCAGGGACAGCCCATAGGCAACTGGGATTTTTTTTGAGACACAGCTCTAAATTCTGTATCATCCAGGATGACCAGATTGGTTAGGTCTGGGAAATTTCCTCAGCATGTGTTCCTGGTCACCCTAGAACCACAGAAAACTTGGGCAACAGCTCCTGAGAACGGCTGGTGTGGGGTTGTCACTGGCCTGTGCGTTCCACAGGGTGAATGCTTTCTGAAGAACATGTGTGACTGTACGACCTTGCTTTCTGCATGAAACTTGCAAGCACACACTGACTATGTTTGAAGGAGCTGCCACAAATGATCTGTTTTAGAAGAGTTTTGAGGCTGCTTTCCAGAATAACAGAGGCAGAGCCCTCGCCATCTTAGATTAGAGTGAGGCTGTGCTGTCTGCTCTCGGAAGGGTCTCTAGTCTTTGCCGGGATCTGTTTGCCCCCTCCATCAGACTCTGACGGCTGACGCTGCATTGCACTAAACCCTGCCAGCCTGGAGAAGGCTCTGGAATTCTCCAGAAGGCTCCAGACCTGCTGGAGTGTGCAGGTCATTGTTTTTGTTTTTTTTCGGTTTGAAAAAGCCCTTTAAATAGTATTCTAGCCTAAGTTGAAAAGGTAGGCAGCCCAAGCTAGCCCGCTCTGATTCTGGAAGTTGTTCTCTGTTATTTGGGGTAGTTTCTGTTGACTCTTGACTCTCACTGGCCCCAATGGGCAGTGTTGGTGTGAGCTTCCCCGCCCAGCATTCACATGAACATGAGGGCTTGGTCCTGGGGGCCAGGGATGGAGAAGTACACTTTGCCAACCGCCTGACCAAGCTCTTGGGAGACCTGCTGTTAGGGAGTGAGGACCCCCCAGCAGTCGCTTAAAGACCGCCTGTGCTTGCTCCTCCGTGGTATAAAATAGAGGCTTTGGAGATGCAGACTTCGGGGCACCCTAAGGAAGAATGTAGCTGTGGCCGGGAGGGAGCGTCCAGCAGCAGACGGTCAGGCAGTGCTTCCTCCAGCTTGTTGATCTTCCTCAGAGTGAACAGTCGGAAAACCTGCTGTCAAGAAGCGCTTCCAGGAGTCAAAAAGCAGCAGAAATTTCCTTCTGGCATTTTGTTTAATTTACATTTCTTGGTGCAGTGGCGCCTTGCCCAGGCTGGAGTATGGGAGAGGGTGAAGACTAGAGACTACAAAAGTGGGGGCAACACTCCCAAGTCCTCAGTATGTGTGGGGGACACACTTGTTTTCTCCAGGTTGACTGTGAGGTGCTCTCAAAACCTGCCCCCCCCACCCCCCGCATTTCCTCCACTGCTGCCAGGAGTCTCACACAGGGACTTCTTTGCATTGACTTTTTTGCTGGCCAGGGCTGTGGCGGAGGCCCGCCGTGTTCTGTGGCTCTCGGGGAGGCAGGCTGGGGCTGGGGACAGTGTCCTGGACAGGGAGCCGGGCAACTGTGACATTCAGACCCGCGTTCCGCCCCTCACTGCTGTGTGTCCCCGAGGCAGTTGCGGAAACTCCTGTTTGCCCATCTGTAACCCAGGGATGTGGTCACCTGCTGATTCTGGTGAGGCGGAATGCCTGACCTGCACCTTTAGGCTCTGAATCCCTGGGGATAGGAACAGATCAGCCCCATCTCTGTAATCCCCCTGGGGCCTGAGCCCAGAGATCACTGAGTGACTTGTTTTCCTCCAGCTGCGAAGTCGAGATGGCTCAGAGTACCTGATTCAGCACGACTCGGAGGCCATCATCAGCAACTGGCACAAGGCTATCAGCCAGGGCATCAAGGAGCTGGTAGGCAGAGCCTGGGGGCCTCCACGGTTGGTGGGGAGGGGATGGCCAGCCGTTATGCAGGGCAGCTGTGCCCACTGTTGGTGAGGCCTTCCACTCAGGCACCAGGGGCTCCCCAGTACCCGTGGGTTAGTACCCCTCCTTGCAGAGGAGTCCCCCCTTATGGCTGGATGGCAGATGGGCTGCCAGTGAAATAGCCTTTCTTAAGTGTTTGAATCCAGCCCCTGTGGAGGGGTGAGGGGAGGGGGTGGAGGGGCACATCCTGGAGGAATGTTCCATTTCAAGAGACAGGAGGAAAACTAATTATCTGAGAAACAGCCTCAGGGTGGAATGACAGGATAAAAAACTGAAGAGTCTGCTATTTTTCAGGTTCAAATATCAATTGCATAAGTAGAGATGGGGCAGGCCCCCTCTGACAGTGATTCATCTGTGAACAACCTGGGACTTTTTGACCCTTAATTCCCTGTAAGCCAACATTGGGTGCAGCATTTGGCTGTATTAATAGAGGTAGGAATCTAGATCCAAGGAGATGATATTGGTATGGTTGTTGGCAACCGTGCCTAGAACTGCAAGCTCAGAATAGGAATGCACTTAATTTGAGGAATGCTGACCTAGTACAGTGTGTATAGAGGAGCTGAGGAAAATATAGAGGAAAGGCACCAGGAACTAGGAGGTGGATAGAGTGGCCGGGATAAAGCGGGGTGGGGGCGGGGCGTGGGTGGTGGTGGGAGAGAACAGGATAACTGCCTCCAGCACCTGAAGGGGCTCCATGCAAGAGGCAGGGGAATGCTCTGAGGCCCCCTGGTGGAGAAGGCAGTTGACCTGCTTAAGGGTAGAGAGTGAATTCCCTGCCTGGGGTCACCAGGCTTGCTGGGAGGGCACTTGGGCTCCTGCATCCCACCCCAAAAGGACCCTCAGCCATCCTCAGGCTCTGCCTCTCTTCGTGATCCCAGTCTGCAGACATGCCCCCAGAGGAGGAAAGCGAGAACACAGGTGTGGACTTGGGGCCCAGGGAGCGCCTGGAAAGCTGGCAGGATAAGGAAGATGACCTGCGGTCTAGTGCAGGTGTGTGGATATGGATTTGGGGAGGACGCATCTTTTGGGGGCTGGTGACAGCAGGGGTAACCCCTGCACCATCAGCTGACTGGGTCATCCGTCTCCCTGTGGCAGCTGCGCTGGCCCTGGGCCCTGGGGGCCTGGAGAGCGACTTGAGCAAGGTCCGGCACAAGCTCCGCAAGTTCCTGCAGAGGCGGCCCACGATGCAGTCGCTGCGGGAAAAGGGCTACATCAGAGGTACCCAAGGGGCCTGGAGAGGGGCGCAGTGGCTCCCAGGCGGTCCGCTGACCAGCCTCTCCCCCAGACCAGGTGTTCGGCTGCCCGCTGGAGGAGCTGTGTGAGCGCGAGAGGAGCTCGGTGCCGCGCTTCGTGCAGCAGTGCATCCGCACCGTCGAGGCCCGGGGTAGGTGCTCCAGGGCTGGGCTGGGTATCCGGCACCCCATGACGGACCCCCGGGTGGGCGCAGTGTCAAGGGGGAAAACAGGAGTCCTTGAGTAGGACTCACAGCAGGGCTTCACCCCACCCCTACAAACCCGGGGTCAGCGCCTCCCTCTGCCCCAGGACTGGACATCGACGGACTGTACCGCATCAGCGGGAACTTGGCCACCATCCAGAAGCTGCGCTACAGGGTGAACCACGGTGAGGCCCGGCCCCAACCCTGCCCCGGGGACCCAGGGCCCAAAGGGCTGCTGACCCCCCCGTCACCCCTCCTCCCCACCTGCCGCAGATGAGCGCCTTGACCTGGACGACGGGCGCTGGGAGGACGTCCACGTTATCACCGGCGCCCTGAAGCTCTTCTTTCGAGAGCTGCCGGAGCCGCTGTTCCCCTTCTCGCACTTCCGCCAGTTCATGGCCGCCATCAGTGAGCGCGCGGGAGCCGGCGCGGGGAGCGGCGGGCGGTGGGGCTGGCCTGCCTTGGAGGCCCCCTTGGCCCAGACACCCCCATTAACACACACGCTGGGGCCAGCCCCCTCCATTCCCCTTGCGTGACGACCCCCCCTCTCTGCGCCCCGTCCCCAGAGCTGCAGGACCAGGCCCAGCGCAGCCGCTGTGTGCGTGACCTGGTGCGCTCGCTGCCGGCCCCCAACCACGACACGCTCCGGCTGCTCTTCCAGCACCTGTGCCGGTGAGGGGGCAGCCCTTGCGGGCGTGGGGAATGGGGAGGGGGTGCTAGCAGGCGCCCCTGGCCTCCCCCCAGATCTGGACCCTGATGCCACCCCCTGTGCCCGCCGCAGGGTGATCGAGCACGGCGAGGAGAACCGCATGTCGGTGCAGAGCGTCGCCATCGTGTTCGGGCCCACGCTGCTGCGGCCCGAGACGGAGGAGGCCAGCATGCCCATGACCATGGTGTTCCAGAACCAGGTGGTGGAGCTCATCCTGCAGCAGTGCGCTGACATCTTCCACCCTCACTGACCACCGCCCGCCTCGGCCGGCGCTGCGGACTTGGGACGGGGCCGACCCCTGGAACTGGGCAGCCGAGGCCACCCTGGACTCTGGTCTCTGAGGCCCACCGCCTCCCCGCCTCCCACCGCCTCCCACCGCCTCCCACCGCCTCCCACCGCCTCCCACCGCCTGCGGGCGCTGTGAATGCTGCACCAGCGGCTCCAAGGGTATGGTGACCCCTGGTGGGGCAATTAGCAAAATGTGATTTTTCCCTGCCGTCGGGGTTGGGGCTGGCGGGGAGGGTTCTGTATTACAGCGCCACCTGCTGTGCAGGCGCTAGAATGCGGGCGGGAGCTGTGTTCTGGGACCGGCTTGCCGGGAGGAGGAATCTGGGGTGAAGGCTTCGGGTCTTCACCAGCCATCAGGGCCTGGCGCTGCGCTGTCTCCAGGCAGGAACTGACAGCTTCCTTGTGGCCAAACAGGACTGACCGAGGCCTTCAGCGCGGGCGGCAGGGGTGTGACACGCAGCTCCCTGGCTGGCTGTTGACATTTTGCCTGCTTTCCTATTCGGGGTTCCAGGCCTCTGCCCTCCCTGATGCAGTTACGTTCCATGCACAGATTCTCCCGTTTACTACATGTGTGCCCACACCCTGCCACTCGGCTCTCCCACTGCACACACAAGCCCATTTTGCAGATGGGGAAACAGGCTTGCAGGCTCAAAGTGAATTGCTCAGGTGGATGACCTGAGCTGAAATCAATCCTTTCAGCTACTGCCCGCCAAACCCAGCATGGGAAAGTAGGTAAAGCAAAAGAAACTCAGCCGGTGGCCTCTGCCTGGGTCTGGGGAGGGCCCTGAAGGCAAAGGCGAGGCTGCCCCAGGTGTTCATCTCTGGGGGTGGGGGCTACCGCCAGCAAGAGCCCCCACCCCTCCTGGCGCCCTGGCTGTCAGGGATGCCCACCTGGTGCCCACCTTGCCTTGAAGAGAGGAAGACAGGTGGGGAGGGGGACACAGGTCCAGGCAGGGAAGTGTGCACCTGGGGTCTGCCGCACCCTTTCCTCCTGGTACACAAACCACCTCAGGTTATGGGTCTCGGTCCCCGCCCATCTGTTCATTTATTCAACAAATAATAATAGCTAATATTTATTGGACATTTGCATCATGTCAAGCATTTTACTTGGATTATCTCATTTGTTTCTCACAGCCAGTATTTATTATCTGCTGATCTGTGCCAGGCTCTGTGCCCTGGGGCGGGGGCACTGCCCATACTGCCTGCCCTGGTGGAGCTTATGTGCGGCGGGTGAGGCCAGCCGGCCCTCTAATGTGGGGGGGCTGGGGTGAGAGTACAGATGGAGGCCTCATACCAACCACCTAAATATTTAAAATTATAAATCAAGCTAACAACTGTTAAATAAAATATTCTATTCTCCTACTTTGACAAATGTGCTTTCAAAACTGCCTCGAGGACCAGGTTCTATTTTGACTTCTTTGACTCTTCCAAATTCTGTGCTTCCGAAGAGCCAGCTCTGCTCCCGGGGTGCCCCCCCCCAGCTCCTTCCACCCTCAGAACCACCCTGTCCCCAGGAGGTTCACGCACACCTCCTTGTGGACACTGAGGAAGATGGGTGTGCTCTGCCCTCACCCCTGAGAGAACAGTCTGGGGTGACATGGGCGAGGCATTATGGGGTCATGCGCATCAGCAGCAAGGCCTAAAGGAAAGGCTGGATCTCCCCACAGATTCCTTGTCCAGAAAGGAGAGGCGCAGAGAAGGGCCAGACTAGAACCTGCTAAAGTAGGGGGCCCCCTCAGGACAAGACCCCGTCCTCCAGGTCTGGGGGGGCAGGACAGTTGTCGGACACCTGATGACTTGGTGACTGTATTTGCACGCGAGCTTGGAAGAAGCGCAGGCTGCTCTTATGGAGTCACTGGGGAATGGCTGTTTCCTGGGGACCTGAGAGGCCTCAGCAGAAGCCACATCTGAGCCAACCACAAAAGAATGAAGAGGAACCAACAAGGAGAGGAATTAAGGGAAGAGCATTTATTTGAAGGGAACAGCATGTGCAAAGGCTCTGAGACAGGAAGGCTTGTAGGAGAAACCAAAACTAAGACCATCTGACTGAGCCGAGAAAGCAGTGGCTGTGGCACGGGGTGGTGCTGGAGGGGTTGACAGCCGGGGGCTTGTGACCACAGCAGGTGGATCCTCCACAGTGAGCAGGCCAACGCGTCTCGGGAGCTGTCCCTGTCTGACCCCCACCCCCACCCCAGGCTGTTTGCCAAGATGTCCGTGGGCAGAGAACATGGCGGCAGGCAGAGCAAAGCATCACGGGTCTTATCGCCAGAGGAGCCTCCTAAGTCAAGCCACGTGACCTCAGGTGACTTACTGCTGCCAGTGAGGGCCCTCCTGGAGAGAGAACGTCGCAGCTCACCTGAGGGCACACGCAGGTTGGAACCTGACCCAGAGTTTCCTTCGCACCTGTTCATCCCGGCGCCCCCGGAAGCTTGGGCTTGGCCACGCGGCCTCCAAACCCAGCCCGCTCCGAGTTCCCGCAGACTTGGAAGGGAGCAGGCTTTGTCTGGTGACACCAAGGTGGAGAGAAACCGCGCCTGCCTGTCGTCTGGCTGGATGACAGACCTAAAAGCAAGGGACAGCCGTGTCTCGGCAACTTCCCCGAGAGACCCGCGCGCTCGGAGGGGCGGGGGGGGGCGTCCACTGTCACCCCCGCGGGCTCAGGGGCTCGCGCCCCGAGGGCTGAGCACCCAAGGGTAAGAGCGGCAAGGTTTCATTCAGGTGGGGTGGGGAAACGTGCTACCCCATCCACCATCCGTGAGCATTCTTTGTTGTCCCGGAGCGGGGTGACGGGAGCCAGGGCTCCCCCTGCGAGCCAGCCGCAGGGTCTGAGCAGCAGCCTCCCCCCAGCCGCAGGCTTGGGAAACCTCCTGCTGCAGCAGCCCAGTTGACAGGGGCACCCTCTCCCCAGGCCTGTCCTCAGCAGCTGCCCCGGGTCCCCCCACAGCTGGCCCGTGCCCTGGAGCTGCCCTGCGAAAGGCTGCCAGTGGCTGGCTGCCAGGTCAGCGGACAGCTGCCCGTCCGCGAGTGGGTGGGCACAGGAAGCCCCTGCCGACCTGCTGGAGACTCGCTGTTCGAACTACCGCTAAGGCGGGCTCACGCTCCCCCATTCCAAGCGCAAATGCCCCCCTCTGTGCGGGTGCAGCCTGCCCGCACCCCTCTCCCTGTTTCTGGGCATCGCGCCTCATGCAGGACTCTCCTCCCCCACCCCTACCTGCCGCCGCCAGGTCCCTATCTTCCACCCCCCAAATATTTCCCAAGTTTGCCTCTCCCACGCCCTTAGGTTCCCCTCTGAACGGGCTCCCCTCCTCCCAGCCCCCCTCCACCCTGCAGCATCTGGCCCAGTTACCTCAGTGTGTGACCTCCAGCCCTTCCAGCCACGTCACCTACCTAGGGTCTGGGGTGCCCCCCCCCACCCCGCACTCTGTGCCAGGCCTCCCAAACAGCACCCGTCACTCATGGGAGTCACGAGGCCTGGCTGCTCCCCTGTGTCCCCTGACAACCCGACATCTGCCTGGACAGTCCTGGACCCAAGACTGTGTTCCTGACTGTCCTCAAACCTGGTCCTCAGGCAGGATTTTCCCCCTCCCAGAAAATGGCTCCATCAGTCCTCCAGCTGGGCAAGCTGGAAAGTGGGGGCAGGGGGACCCTCTCCCTGCAGCTCCCCATCTCTCTCCACCCTTCTACCCCATCTATGTCCAAGTCCTGTTTACTCTCTTCTCTATCACCAGGACCCCACCCGGTCTAACACCTCCTGCCTGGACCACGCAGCCTCCCAGGCCCCTCCTTCCTGAATCCTCTTTGCCCCCGCCCCATCTGTTGTCATTCTGTTTTTGTTTTTTTAAGATTTATTTATTGATTGATACAAGCGCTGGGTACAGTGAGAAGCGCGGGAGGGTGAGAGAATTCACCAGAGCCAGAGCAGGGAGCAGAGCAGGCAGAAGGACCGAAGTACACTGCTGAGGGGAGCAGCGGGCGGCAGGAGAGGTCTGCGCGCCATGTGGGACCCTTGCCCGGTGGCCGGGAATCGAACCAGCACTGCAGAGGCTGCAGGCAGCTTCGCAACCCAGCGCTCAATCGCTGCACCACCGGGGAGGCCCGCTCTGTTGTCATTTTGAAACACAACCCTGATTATACGATCACCCTGCTTAAAAGCCTTTCCACTCATCGAAGGAAGAGACCACCAGCTTTAACATGGCCTGCAGGGCTGTCTGACTCCGCGTCTGACCACCCCTCAGCTTCCCACATGAAGCACACAGCTCAGTGATTCGAAGCAAAGGCCCTGGAGCCAGGCTCCTGGATCCAAAGTCTACCTCCCTGCCAGGTGTGTCTGGGTAACTGATTCCTTCCTCTGTGTCCCAGGTTCCTCAGCTGGAAACTACCCTTGACAGAGTAGCTGTGAATATTACACGAAATGATGCTTCTGAGCTTCTGAGAACAGAGTCCAGCCAGAGTAAACATTCGGCAAATACGTGGTGGGTCTCTGCCTTAGTTGCTGTTTCATTTCTGCACTGTGGTTACACTGACCACCCCCCACCACCACCAGTTTCGCAAATGTGCCATGTTCCCTTCTGCCGCAGGACCTTTGCATGTGCGGCCCCTGCCGGCAATTCTCATTTCCCTTTGCTTAGTCATCTCTGAGCATCCTGCTCAGGTAACCCTTCCCCAGGCAGCGCCTCTGTATGCCTGGCAAGGTCAACTTTGTTGCGTGACATCAGAGACCCAGACACCTCTATCTCAGCTTGTCGTTTTACAGCCATATACCATGATCATTTATTGCTGCCCGCTCCCCACCCCACGATACTACAGCTTCCAGAAGGGTGGGGAGGCTATTCTTGCTCACCTTTGTATGCCAGCGTCTAGCACAGTGCCTGGCATCTAACATAAAAGGGCACAGTAAATACTTCTTGGTGAGCCAGCGCTTAAAGACAGGAGGTGGTGTTCCAAGGCCAGCGCTGCCATTTCCTGTCCCGTGACTTTGGGCAAGTTGTTCCCCTCAGCGCACTTGTCCTAAAGAGAGCGTGCTCACACCAGAGGCTTCTTGAGATTATAACAGGA